GGCGACAGGGGTGGGTGGGCAAACCGGGTTTTGAGACGCTGCTAACAAGAGCCTCTGCCTGCAAAACTTGCTCCGCAGCTCCTAGCAGGAACTGCTGCCACATCCCTGGCCCTGGGCTCTCCTCCGGCCGGAGGCAGACGGCCCGCAGCAGAGAGGGAAGGAGGTTCAGCTGTGAAGACCTGGCCCACAAATGGCTGGAAATCAGGAAAGCGACCTGGAAAACTATTGCAGGATGTTTGCCCTCCCCAAGGCAGCTCATCTAGGATGTAGGACACCAGGCTACGGGAACCATTAGTCTAACTCAGTGCAGCCCACCACGTTACCGACCCTACAGGAGCAGCCTGGGCATCTAAGTGTTTTTTAGCACAAAACTCACCCTGAGTTCACAAAGCTGAGCAGACAGGCTCATGCAAGCTGTGTGTGCTGGTAGCTCAGAACAAGGAGACAAACCTTCCCTCTAGCGGCTGTACGGCACCTAAGTCTCACGCTTACCTTCTCTCCCCACGCCAAGACTAACAGCGTTGTTTTCACCAGCTCTTAGACTCAACACGGATCCTAAGTGCATCAAATGTCTTACAAAGACGCCAAGGCTATGCCAGGCAGCGTGGTTCATGCACAAGTGCATCCCGGGCACCAGAGAAGCCACACAGCCATGAAATACCGCTGGCCTGTTTCTGCAGCAAGGATGGTTTGTGGGACCAATTCTTCAGCTGAATTACTCCTCCTTATAGCCAGCATTTAGTGGGATGGAGGATCAGGCCTAGAGTTTCTCTAGGACCTTTTTATCACAGGTCTTTATCCCAGTTTCAGGCTCATCACCACCACAGCAGATCCTAAACTGTGCTGCTGAAATCCTAACTGTCGCACAAGCACACACATTAGCACGTACATTAGCACATACATTTCCAAAAGGACTAAGAGTTTCCACTTTTCCATTTACAAATTAGGGAGCTTATTCACATCCTGTCAAACTTGCACCCTACAACTGGGCCACTGAATATTGAACCAACTCTGTTGTCCATGACCAAGATGCTCTGATGGTGCAGCGTCTCAGACTACTGGGCCATCTGCTGTTATAATCTGTATTCCTACATGACATTATAGCCTGTAGGAATACGGGTTATAATCTGTATACAGATCATACAGGAATACAGTAGGAAATAGCTGTCTGAAGCTTCCCACTCACAACAGCGTTTCAGTGGCACAGTCCATCGCACTGGCTTCCTGGAGAAAACACAGCGGTAACATTTTCCGGGGCTGCAGCAAACCCTGTCCTCAGCAGTAGATCTGGGAATACCTCCGGAAGGGTGTGCAACTTTCAGCTCTGTAAGCCCTCCGCTATTTCCCTGCCATTGCACACACGCGCGCATACAAGTTTGGCCAGCATTCTGCTTCTCAGCTCCTCGGGGAGACGCAATACAGCACCAGATCACTGACACCAAGTCGGTAATTTCTGTGCCAAGTGGTCTCACCCCGACACAAGGGTTAACGTGTTACGGCGTGCACTTCAAGGCACACGAATACACCTGCAGAAAAAAGCCCTTGCTCCCTCCATCAGTCCATTGCACCTCTGCCAGGGCCAGCAAATCAGTCTCTTGCATGCGGTACGATCAACTTTGCCTTTTCAGTTTGGGTCTTACTTAAAAACCTTTCCAATGCATGCAATGCAAGAAATGGTTCCTTTTATTGACTTTGCCATTTCTGTCTGCCTTAAACCCTTGGAGAAGTTCTTAGCTTGGGATTAATCACATGATGGGTTGAAAAAAAAAACCACTCAAAATTACAGGTAGTGACTGCTACAGCCTTTACTAGAGACTTTGGTCTTTTAAGCTCAGAAAGAGGCTCAGGTGTAGATTTGGAAGCATTGAATTTCACTCCTGTTGGCCATTACTCACCCAGGGATGTTATATTATTGCTATATTAAAAATGAATACAGCAACTTTGATTTCTTCAAAGCAGCAAGTGAATAATGAATCAAAACTGCCCTTATTTCAGCTAAGGGAAAATGATAAATGGAACACAAATGCTATAAAATAGCAGTAGAAAGGCTCTTTAATAAAGGTGATTTGCTGTTCAGATTATAACAGCCCTATCCATACCTTCTCTGATTATTCCCCTGCTATGCACACACTCACAGACCAATGCAATCAGAAACAAAAAAAAGACATTACCAGGAAGCAAGACCATCTTCTTGCAGCAGAGCCCCAGAAGATGTGCCCCTTCTAGAAACATCTTCTAATTCCCTGAATGGACAGGAATTCACACCCAATGTATATGAGTCACTGCTAAAATAGAACCCAGCAACAAAACTTTACTATTGACCTTTAGCGCTTAGCTGAACACTGTTCATGTCCCAAGAATGGGCTGAGAAAGTATGGAGTGACAGTGAGTATTACAGCAACAAGGTCCTACAATTACACTAGCAAACAGATTGTGTAAGAGCCCATTATAACTAACCAAACCTCTGTATCAGGTCATGGTTAAGGGTAGCACAGAAAATCTGTTACCAGCCCTGTCCAAAAACTGGTCTTCCTCTAACAGAGAGACAAGTTGCATACTCTTCTTGCCTCCATTTCTTTGGCGAAGAGGGAATGCTTTCCAGCTTCAGCAGGCTGACGGGAAGATGCAATGTGGCCTGGACATAACGGATAATTAGCGCTAAGGGCAACTTAGTGCCAGGGATTTGATGTGGATATGGGAAATATTTCAGCGTTGCTCCTGGGAAGCTCCTGGCTGTCTTCTGTTTACTTGTCGACCTGTGCAGTGGTGGTACGCTGGTAATCCGTGCACAGGCTGCATGACTTAGCCCTGCTGCAGTACGCCCTTGTCTGCAAATGCACTGGCTGCCTCTGCTGGGAATGAAAACAAGAGAAGCTCAAAGCATGAATGCTTTGGGATTCTTTTGTTGAAGGCAGGTTTAAAAAACGAAAACAGCTGTAGTCCTTAAAAGCCAGATTCTTACCAACACTGCCGTGTTAAAGCTGCTGTGCATATTCACACCAATGCATTTTTTCATGCATTGTCACTTAGCAATTGAGAAACCAGTTGGTGGCTCTAGCTCTGTTACCAGGCAATTCCATCTTGCTTTTATTGGAGATAGCGGCTTTCCTGAAACGGGAACAAGCTATTTTGTGTCCCTCCAAATACCATTTGTAGAGCTACCTGACTAGCTGCCAGTCTGAGAAAAATTAATTCTATAAAGCATGCAATAATTCCTCTACACTATTCAAAAATATACAAAAATAAAACCATGTTTATAATCTCCTCCTCCTCAAGAAAAACATCTCTAAGACAGAAACACAGCAACAGGATAAAATTAATATATCAATTAAGCAGACAAAGTTCCCAGAACAAGTCTAGTCCTTCTATTTTTTTAATCCTGAGAAAAATACAGGCCACAGTATACATCTGTGTAAGCAACCTCACACACAAAAGCAACAAAGAGAAGTCTGTTTTAGACCATTGGTCCTATTCTCTTTTCTTGATGGACAAGCCTGTATAAATTCCACACAGATTGAAAAGCACTGGACCATGCAATTATAATGGCGGAGGGCATTTAAAATGTATTTACTGAGAAGAAACATTGATTGTTATCTGTCTCCTGATGTCAATATAGTCCATTACATAGCTCCCCTTCTGTCATTTTATTTCGGATTTCAAAAATACAGCATGCAGCAGTTAAGTTACAGGATGGGAAAATAGCTCATTCTGACGAAGTTACACTGAAGTACAAGGCTCCTTTTTCGCAATTAGTTATTGTTGTTCAAATGGCTCAAGTCCTCACCTTGCATCAGTGCCAGACAGGCTTGACTATCACACTCCCAGGACGTCTCCAGATCCTTTCTGTAGCCAAATCAAATTCGTAAAACAAAAGAGACAGGACCACCCCATCTAGGAAACCCCGTGCCTGCTGCTGGTTTGCTTCACCCACAGGTCAGCATCTACTACTTGTCAGAAACCTGACCAGGTCTCAGTTCTCGTCCAAGTCCGCTTTGCTCAAGCTCTGCTATAACTGACATATATTTAAATTCGCTAGATCTGTGGTTGAATGTCTCCACTAATTTGTAGGTCTCAGAACGATCCGTTGCATAGAAAAGCTGCACCTGATTCGCCAAGCACTGTGCTTCATGAACCACCTGCAAGTTAAAACAAAGAATTTGTTACCATCTGGTTTTGTTGTATTTGAGTATCCCATTGAAAGACCCTTCAGCAGGGGTCATCGAATGACTCAATTCCAAGTCACCTTAGTTTTGCAAGTCTCTTACAAACCACCTCCCTCTTGTTCCTGACCTACTTACACACTTTAGCACTGTGCCTACAAACTACTCTCCTGTTGAGCATACACCTCAGAGGTCAAAGATGTCTTTCACGATCCCTGCCCACTCTAAGGCACTGGAGATGCACCAAAGTCTCATCTTTCCCTTCTTACAGTCGACCTATTTGCGAAAATTGATTGTCTAGTCTGAGATACAACAGGGCAAATGCATTACCAATGACTCCTCTGCACATAGTTTCAGAACTGGTTTAAGTAGGTCAGTTAGAGGTGGGATGCTTTAGTTATCTTGTTCCAACAGTATAATTCCTCGTGCTATTAGTCCTAGCACCTACTATTACAGATTTGCAAATAACAGCACACCCACACATAGGGAAAAGAGCAAAGGCACGCAGAAACCTAACACAAAGCTCTGGAGGGTCTCCTGATTTGACGAGCAGTATTAAGCTTCACTGTTTTAACTTGTTGGCAGATAGCAACAGCTTTCATTTAAATTTGCTTCCACTAGTAAGAAGACCAGAAGCATCTCTTTTTTTTTTTTTTTTAACAACAATAAACTATAATACCCAGAGTAAGAAAAAAGAAAAAAAAAAAAAGAATATATGAACTGAAATCACCAGATAGCCAAACACTGATTATTTCCTTCTAGCCTTCCCTAGTAGTAAGTAGATTAGGTTAAAGAAATCTAGAACGATCACTCTTTGGGAAAGGGTTTTTTACAGACTTGACTTTAATTTGGTTTTAATTCGAAACTATAGGAGGAGTTGCAGCATAAAATGATGTAAGCCAATGAAGAGATTTCTTTGATTTCTCTTACCAAGAACTTTGAGTCCATTTCTGCTGTCATTAGTACTATCCCTTTTTCCTTCTGCAGCTCAGGATAATGGTATAAGACTAACTGGCTAGGAGCAGTTTCACCTTGGGTCTGAAGGAGATAAAGAAACCTATCAGTATCCCATAAAGAACTTCAGCTCTATTGCAGGTTTTGAGGTTTGACGACAAAACTTTTGAGTAGTAACTGCTATGGAGACAGTCATTTTTCAAGGCTTAAGGGTCAGTTCTAATTAAAAGTTTATTATTCCTGGGATTTAGAGAAAACAAGGGATTTACAGAGTTAGGTCGGTTTTTTTCTTGACTAAAGACCATTTTGCATTTAAAATAACCCGCAATTTCCATAAGGACATTTAATCTCATAACATCTACGGGTACTTTAAGTAGTTTGCGCAAATAGTTCTAAAAAGTTTGGCTCTTGCTTCTATTTTGAGACTATCTGACTTCTACCTCATTCTCCTTTAGATTGAAGAGACACTTAATACCCATAAATTTAGTAGTTTACCCGTAATTAATTTACTAATATACCCATAATTAATGGCAGTTTTTCCCTGATAATTAAAGTTAAGCTAGACAACCTGTTTGTTAAACTATTTAGCAAATATGTATATTATAATATGCTGATATTTCTGGATCTTAAGCCATTTTTTGACTTTTTATTTCCACCACTCACCTGAATGTTTATTAGGGAAGTGAAGTGCAATTCTGTTCCTGACCACTGCCCCACAAAGAACTCATAGCCTTCTTTTCTTGGCAAAGCATACAGAAACTGCAGAGAAATGATTAAAAAAAAAAAAAACAAAAACAATTTTCCCTTTCATAGAACAAAATGATGCCTGTGTCATACTGGCCTCCAGTAATGCTAAATGCTTTAGCGAGAGAACCACAAAAGAAAAAAGGGTTTCTTTGCACCACCGGTGTGATAGGACAGCAGGAACCAGACAATAAACCAGTATTATCTTATCAGTATTATTTCATTAGCAAATACGTTGGCACATATTTTTATCAGTATTATATGAGACAGACAAAAGAAAGGAAAGGACAGTGGAGAACATTGAGACTCTGACCTTTTTGTTCACTTCTAGAAAATTAACAGCAGAAATGGTCACATATAAGACAAGGAGCATTCAGAGTTTTTAATCCTGTCATTTCACCAACTGTTCCAGAACAGGCAACAAGTATTTTCTCTCTAGAGATTTACGGTCTGTTCAGCTCCATAGGCTAGGGACTTGCTCATTTTCCCACACCAAGGGAAAGGAAAAGATGGGAGCAGAAAAACAAGCAGGATACCTAACTAAATGCCAATGCACTGTTAAAGCTATAACTAACTTTCCAAGCTCCGAGTAGCTCAGGAAGTCAGATATATTTGATCTTGCTCTTGGCAAGTGAAATATACAGGACCAATCCATCAATCCAGTAAAGTCTCTAATTCAGATCTACAAAAGCACTCAACGTAGCGAAGTCTAGCTACTTTATTTTCATAAAGGAGTGAAGCATTTCATTTCTGTCTTAGCATAGTGAAATTTGCACAGTCCATGCTTCGGTGCACAAATTACTGTAAAAACATATTACTTTCAACAGAAGACAATACTAATCCAGCAGCATGTGGTACGAAACTGCAGAATATATTCTTTATCTTGTTAGTTGTTCTGCTCTTTTGCAGTTTAACTTCTTCAAAGCAACAAGCTGCTCATTCACACAGGAATCTTCTAATTGAAGTTTAAAAGATACCCACCTACACCCACGTAACCACATGAGAAACAGTGAACCTGAATCTTGGGAATCCACTCATTTCTGAAATAACCATATTAAGCATTCTTGCTATTTTATGCTTTGTCGTGCTGGCATACACCTAAGACACAACCCGCAGAGTATTTATTCTGTATCTGTAATAAAGGGTTCAACTACACCCAATTCCCTCCTTCCTTCCCCTGTCACAGCTGTTGAATTATGATGCTTTGCAACAGAACTTACAGTACTCAATTTTGCAGTGCCATATAGTCTTTTTTGACAACTCACACTCCCGTAGAGACAGAGATGCATTATTTACACAGCATACTGCCTGCCCAGTTTGGCTTCCATGCAAATAGCTCATATTCGCTTACCAATATTTACCTATCACAGATCACCAGTATGGTGAAGAAGGCATGGCTATGCACATTTATGATTAGGAAACACAAGCTAATAGCTTGTTCTGTGGACAGAACCCCAACATACTGATTTCTTGGCTTTTTCCCTTTCAGGTACTCCTGCCCATCTTCACTGCCAGTAAACAAACACAAATAGAGGAGCAACTCACACCAACCATAAGACAAGAGAATTCACTTTCTCCACGAACATGCAACGTAATGCCATGGTGACACGTAGCTACAGCTAACAACAGTTCCTCCAGGTTAAAGCAAGGATGCTTTAAGCAATAAGGAAAGATATGCAGGAACATCAGTGAAGCTGACCTATGAGGCTTGGCTCTTCACAACACTGCACGGAAGAGATTTAACCACAAGGCATCAATTAATGGAAACCGGAGGCGTGTAGCTTCCCTGGGAGATTCTGTGCTCTTGTCACTAAACTCTCTATCTGTTATACCTACATAGCTGATACCTAGATCAAACTGTTTAATACATATAAATAGCCATTGCTTTCATCTGAACACTAAGACAACTATTTGAACACCTGGATTTTACTAATCGAGCTGATACAGTATGTTTGAATACAGGAGGGTCAAAAGTTTATGAATTAGGCTTTAGAGAGAAATGCATTACAGTTATACATCCACGCATTGCGAGTCTCTGCCATACGTACCGATGGACATTTCTGAGCTCTCTTCCATATTAAATCAAACTTCTCCGCCTTTGGGGAAGGAGAAAGAGAAATTAAATTTTCATAACACAAACGTGGACACACAGTTATTCAGAATCACCTCATTAACCTTTATAGAGTACAACTTCCATCTACAGAAGGTCTCACTGCGGGAACGGCTAACAATGAGCGTGTGGAAAACTGTATTTAGTTCTTAGTTACCTAAAAGTCATCAGTATCCCATTTTAACAATGCTGTCTCTAACATGCAGCAGAAAACTCCTTGGATCCAAAGCTTTATTCCTTGGAGATGGGGGGCCCATGCTTCAGGCTTACATTACGTCCTCTTTCAGTAATAGCTCCACTGCATCATGTGGTGGCAACAGTTGAGCAAGACAACATATCCCTGGCCCCAGATTGTAGATTTTACATCATAGTCATCTGTTCTTCAGTATTAAAATGCAGCCTAGATATTTACTCAAATAACATATTTCATCATCCCTGGTGAAATCTGGCAATCTCATTCACGTGTCCTCTGCGTTCCCCCAAGTCTTTTGCCTGCTCTTCTCTTCCCAGCACCATATATTAATACTTACTCTAAGGTGTTCATGAAAGAAAACATATGCCATTCATCAACAGGAAATTCCTCCGTGTGCGCTTTTGAGCACTCGAGAATTATGCGAGGCCTTTCTTCCAGCCAGCAAAAAGCTTCTGGCAAAAGACGTAGTTTCTTCCCCCGATGACACCATGAACTACTTCCTAATGTGCCTAGGATCTGGTTTGCATTAAAGCCTTAAAAGCTTCCAAAGCTCCTCTAAAACAGTGCACCAAAGAACAGTGCCAGCCCCACTAATGAAAGACCTACACCATCTTAACTGGAGTCCCTGGCTTTGGCCCTCTGCTACAGTAAACGAGCAATTCAAAATATTTTCACAATATCCACACATTGTGAAAACTGAAACACGAAAACTGCTTGACTTCAAATCCCACGTTGCCATTTTCAGAGCATACAGCACTTCATACATTTAGAATACAGCCTCCCATCACCTCAGTTGCAGCTCAAAGGGCCAAGTACAACTGCAAATCAGACCCCAGATCTAAATGAGGTTTCAAGAACTCAAGGAACACGCAGTTCGTGCCCAGCTGTGAAAAGACAGATTTAAGAGATCACGATCACATAGAGACTCTGAAGCAAAGAATAAAAAGAAATCCCAGAAGTGAAAAACACTCCTTCAGCCTAACGCAGATTAACAACAATTAACATCTGGTAAAGTTATCAGGAGTAAGAAATATGATCTTATCACAGGAAGCACCATGCAATCTCAATGAAAGACAGTGCTGCCAATAATTTTAAATGTATGAAAGTAAGTCATAAGTGATTAGCCACGTGCAAGTTATTAACCAAGTGCTCTAACACTGCCATATTAAACTTCAGTTAGCAGTCCGTGCTGCACGGAAGAGGGAAAAGAAATGAGCAACTCTGAGAAAAAATGATGTGTCAATACAAATGCTACCATAATAAAAAAATGCCTGGAAATTCAAGCCAGGTGTGCAGAAAAAAGTACTAGCTTTATTGAGACTGATGTAAGTGAGAAAAAGAAGGGATACACAGTTTTGGAAACAAAACCCTCTATTTGGGGCAGTAAGATCACTCAATCCAGAAAGAAAGTTTGTTCTTGAAACCTCATTTTCCTTCAATGATTGCTTTTAAAAGCAACAGAATCACAGTTAGAAAGGAAAACTTTGCACTTTGGCCTTTCAAGTACCTAACTACAGGGGAATTACTTACAGGAATAACAGCATAAACCGTATCTTTTGCAGAAAAATACTGATTCCAAATCTGTAGGAAACAAAGGAGATGAGCTACAGTTAAAATCAAGCATCTAGCAGTAATATTAAACGCTTTAAAAAGAATTCCATTTGTCAACTAACCTTTGTAAGCACTTTGAGAAATCATTTTTCAATCAAGCCTGACTTTCCTGCTAATGCAATACATTTTTCCTAAGGTTCCAGAGTACTTGTACCAAATGACAGATTTCAACTAGATAACAGAAATAAGCAATGAGCTCAGAGGTAGTTCAAGATCTACTAGCTATCAGAAGCGCTTCTTACATTTTTCCCAACAATCACACTAATGATTTCTAGAGGGTTTGTTTGTGAGTTTCTTTGTTTGTTTTTTTTTTTAATACAGAACATACAAAACGTTTTCAACAGAAGACAAACTTTGCATTATGCTCCTCTGTGTTCACAATCTTTTTCTTCACCACAGCAGGATGGCAATACCAACATAAAAGCTCAAAGTCCTTAATAAACGGACAAGTACAAGTAAAAGCTCACAGTCCAGGACTCTCTCAGTTGCTCCTCCCCAGTCCTACATAACTAATGAGAATTGTCAGTAAAATGTTTAATCAATGAAACGGAAATAGGGGAACTCAAAGGAAACTCATGAGTTATCAAATGCACTCCCTGCTATAACTGGTCACACACCATCCGCTGCAGAGCGCATAACCACTTTTATAACGTTCTCGAGCTACCAGGAAAGCAGCTAGATTTCTGCTCTCTAAGTCATGCCAGAAAGCTCCTTCATATGTGCTGCTCCCCTTAAATGATCATGCCTAAATGAAGTTTCTTGGCATACAGTCTGATTAGGAAAAAAAATACCAGATCCAACTCAAGCTACATCAGAAACGTGGAACAGATGTGACTTGTAACTAGATAAGAGGGAACACAGTGCAAAGCCAAGCAGATATTGGGGAGATCAACTTGATTTGCACTGTTCTTCAAACAAACAGACCCACCCACCTCCTTCTTACCCTAACCATCTTTAGTAGGGGTACAGAGACTCCTGAGTGACAGATAGTGCAAGCAAAGATAGAAGATGGCAAAAGCTTTGTTTTTATTCCTGCAGAACAGAGGTAGCATAATCCACATGAGCTACTGCTAGGGTTTCCCTTTACCTGGCTTCAAACCTGATAGGAGCTTGCTGACGCCAATTCAACTGCTACACATCGAATGGCAACAATAAGAATTACAATAGAGACAGTTTTTGAGCGATCAAGTCCAGATGTATTATTTATCAAGTGGGTACATCCTAGGTGGACTTACCTATATGGAGAAACCTTTATCTTCTACTATTGGTATGCATATGAATGTGCTTTTTATAAATACACACCCATAGCCATGTTTTATTTTTCAGTCTAAGTAAAATTTCCACCCTCACATGTAGATTACTATTAAGCATAGATGGGGAGCAAACTTTATTCCATTTAAATCCATCACCTGTTTTATCTCCTCTGCTGATTTTTCTTTCACCATCTCAACATTAAGAATCGAATCAAGGGTCTGCAAGAGAACACATAAGGAATTTGGCATGATGATAGTTCTCTGATTCAAGTGAGAATCCAGAATGAATGGATGCAATTACAGAGAACAAAATCAAGCCAGAGGAACTTAATTCAATTTACAATGGGACTTAGTCCTCTGAATTGCCAAAGAAACTAGCAAATCATAAACAGTAACACACTGTGAGAAGTGGATTCACACACTGAAGAGATTCTGTCAGGACACGGAACACACTTCGCTCCAGTTCTGCAGATCTCTACTGAAGCTTCTCTTCAGCCCCCTCAGACATACTCTGTTGGCAGATTTACACAGAAAGTTTGCCAAAATACAAGAATGTGAAAGAATAAAACCATTCTCTCATCCCTCTGCTGGCTGATCTTTGGAAATATATTTACATGCTGTAAAGGCAGCTTAACCCTTTCAATTTATTACTGTCAGCATTCAGCACAGATCCCCTAACTAGTAGGAACTTCCAGGATGTCAAGAGAGAAAAGACTGGATAATAAAAAAACCAGACTGCTGGGAGTTTTAAGACTTGAACGTGATCCCAATAGTAAATAAGTATCTTATACTCAAGTGCAGCATAAGGAACATTAGTTTTATCTCAGGAACCTCTTGGCTGAAGCACTGATGGTAGCAATACAAGTTAATCTACATCCTTGATTTGCCAGCAAGTCCTCTCCTAACACTAAGGTTTGCTTCCCTTACCTTATCTTTTGTGAAACCTCCTTTTGATGTCTTTGTGCCCAAGCCTTCTGCCTAGAAGAAAACATTCTTTAGTTTTTATAGCTGATGCTTTAATACCATTTATTTGCCTTCCCTGCCATGCATAACATGCCTGCTGACAAGATCTCCTGAGTATGAGCTCAAATTTAAGACACGTACAGATTGCTGCAGTGCATTTTATTAAAATAAAATATTGATTAGGAGAATAAGAAGATGAGTAACTTAATGTGAATTATGAATTTCAAGATCAGAAAGGATTAAAGCAAACTATTATGCATTTTGGATCCAATATTATTGAACAGCTTTCTTTCATTCACTACAAAATGATAAATGCAAGATCATGTCACTCCATCCCGCCAAACTAATCTGGAACGAATTAAACACTTCAATAAGGTCTCAAGCACAGAATTTACAGCCTAAAAAATAGCAAAATAGTATGCTGGAATACAGAACAGTATTTTCAGCCACCAGAGTGTGAAATTCTGGGGCTCCTTACTAACAGGAACGCTGTATGTTTGTAGCATTATGCTGATCCTATATAAATGACGTTATAGCTTTAATACATGTGAATTACAAAGAAAATTAGCCTTGCCTTTTCCTCCATGCATCTGATAAATTCCCCTTGATTGGAATATCCCACAGGCTGCTTTTGCACTTCATTTCTTTTTTCCATACGGGTTTCAAACACATCTGGACTGGATCTGAATCGAAAAGGGACTATTAACAGTCCTGGATGATTAACACCATTTGGCCTTTTAAAATGTTTACTGTGGTACTGACTCATGTTCAAAGTTAAAGTTTTAACTTCTTGTTAGTAAAACAATCTCTTATCAAGCTGATCATGTTGGGAGAGGACTCTCTTCACTGACTTGGTGGCAAGAAGTGAATTTCAAGGCAGCATTTAGCCTAAACTAATTCATTTTCTCATAAGGGCACAAAGCTAAAAATTACCTCCCTTCTCCCCCCCAAAAAACAGCTC